TGATGGCTCTTAAATAGTGGGCTGGGAGCTTGCTTGAATGTGTGAAGGTTATTTGTGATGGTAGGCTTCCAGCAAGTGTTAGCAAAATCATAGCTGGAGGGATTCTCTTAAAGGGTTCAAGCAACTTGTGACCTTCCCATGAAAGCTGATGAGGAATGATCAACAGATATAATCTCTGCTATTTATTTTCAGTGCTGACATTGAGCTTTGTGGGTCTAACTGGACTTTTGTCAGTTTAAAACCTCCAGGATGCTTTGCTATTTGGGCAGACCACAGTTTGCCACTGGTTTAAAGTGGGAACCATAGTGAAGTACTAAGAATACTTGCCCTCCTCTAAAACCATTTAAAAGTCATGAAAAGTTGAAAAATAGTGTGCAGAAATATTAAATGAAGAGATTTTATGCGGTTTTCTAGATGCAGGCTTTCTTATTTTAATGCTGTGTGTATCAGACAGTAGCATTAACGTTCTAAGTCTTCAGAACCAGAACTGGAAAAGTTTCACAAATCTTCTGCTGACATGCATGTTCATTTGACCCGTGACAGTGAAAAGTGTGATTATGAAAAAGATCATTATGTTATCGTTATGTGTGTTACTCATGTATTTTGTCACCATTTCTTCTCTTGTCTTTGATTGTTGAAGCTTTATCCTGCAGTGCTTTTAATTCATAAATAGCTCTCTTACTCTTCCATCTACTATATGGTAAAGAGAGCTAAATACAAAGTAATATGCATTGACAAAGCACGTTGTTTTCAAGGAACATTTGATCTAATCGAAGTATTATTTTCATTGTTAACTTTAAAACACTGCAGCATAACTTAAACTTTCAGCTTGCAGCTATTTCAGCTGTTGATCTGTTCTGTCTTTTTTTATTCCTTTGCTACCCAAACTCTTAACCAGCGATCCATACGTGGGTAGGCTTTGTAGCGGTAATCGTATTTAGACAGGTGAATCATTTCGGTAACCACGAGCTATTCTGGAACATGGACTGCAGTGTCGGTCTGACTGGTGACATAGAGCTCTCCCTTGGTGATGTCACATCACAGAGCAGCTCTGTCTAGGCCACTGCCCCACATCTGTGCCCCATTGGAAATGAGCACAGTGCTGCAATCCTAGCTCCCACACAGCGCATTCAGATCTTGGGAGACAACTCGGAGCTTTGGAAATATGGAAATATGATGTATGATCTGCTCAGGTAGGCTGAGTTCATAAGCACAAGATTACCCAGTTGGTAAAATCTGAAGTTGAAGGTAGACCCTCATAGCACCTTTATAAGACTGCTGAAAATTCCCATGGTGCTGAACACAGCTTTAGGCTGATGGCATAAAAACTGCGGCATTGAGTAGAATTATTTTCGTAGAATCATAGAATGGCCTGGGTTGAAAAGGACCACAAAGATCATCTAGTTTCAACCCCCTGCTATGTGCAGGGTCGCCAACCAGCAGCCCAGGCTGCCCAGAGCCACATCCAGCCTGGCCTTGAATGCCTCCAGGGATGGGGCATCCACAGCCTCCTTGGGCAACCTGTTCCAGTGTGTCACCACCCTCTGTGTGAGAAACTTCCTCCTAATATCTAACCTGAACCCCCCCCTGTCTCAGTTTAAGACCATTTCCCCTTGTCCTATCACTATCCACTCTCATAAACAGCTATTCCCCCTCCTGTTTATATGGTCCCTTCAAGTATTGGAAGGCCACAATGAATTTTCAACATCTGACTCTTTTCTATTTGTGTATAAGCCATAATTTAAAAAAACTGTCTTATGCCATTTCTTTTCAGTGTGTGCAAGTTTGATATTTTAATTCCCAAATAATTTAATTCTGTTATAGCAGACTTTTCTGTTCTGATTAGTTCAGGTTACCCTGGTTCATACAGAAATGTAGTTCTATCTTTGGTAACTGTTGTTTTTGTATTTGGGAATTACTGTAGGATCACTAAAATGCTGAAGTTTTCAGCAGTATACATGAAGAACAAAGGAAGTCGAGTATTATCAAGTCTTTATTAATACTTTGTTCAGCACTCTGGAGATTGGATCTGGACTGTGTGTAGTTTAGAAGTAGTTGTAGGTATTTGAATTTTCTACACTGGAGTTTATCAGATGCTAATATTGAGAGAGCAATTGATTCAGCTTTGCATTGTTTACCTCTGATTTCTGTCTTTTGATTGTTGCTAAGATGCAGGTTGAAGGCTGCAGTTTCCATGCTTCTGTGCTCGTAGTGATGGCCCAATCGTTAGAAGTTAAAAAGCACAGTGGTAATGGCAAGTGCAAGAACAGTAGTTCATGGGGCCTTTGTCCCAGTTTCCTTGAACCTCAGTCCAGTTTGGATTGTAGGGTGGGTGGCTGATCTACGTATACATCTACATGTATTTAATTGAATATGTCATTAAAAGCTTTCCTTTTCCTCAAAAGGGGGAGAAGCACAGAAAAGACCGGGCTGTGATTGAGTAAACTAAGCTTTTGTTTTGTTCACATTCTTGTGTTTTGAGTTTGTACATTTGAGTGACTTGTATGCTTGGCAGCCGTTGAAGGACAACTAAAGTGAATCCACATCTCTGGAAATTGTAAGGAAGGCTGGCTGCTGTTTTGCATTTTCTAAACTACTAATGAGACTAGTGAGATGTTTGCAACCAAAGAAAAACTTCCATCTTCTTGTTTGCCTGATCTCAATTACATGTGATTGCCTTAAAGCAACACCTTGTTTTGTTCACTGAAACATTTAGATTTTAAATTACCTTGGAGTTAACGTGGGTTTATATACTGCACGTGATTTTAAAGAGTGAAATGAAAACACACAAAGCAGCTGAGCTTGCTTCTAGCTTATCTTGTTGAATTATGTGTATGGTGGTAAAATGAGAACTGTGACCTCAGTACTTACAAGTGGTACTTCCAGGTAGCTTAGACCTATGAGTTTAGTACATGATAAGACTTCAGTGTTGCTTACATAAAAGAGCAGGTTTATATATTAGATTTATTTTAAAAAATGAAGTGTTTTTGAGGGTTATTTAATTCTACTAGGTCAGCAATCCTGTTTTGCGTAAATCACTAACAGGCGAATAAAGATCTTTTGTCCTTGTTGCAGTAATTACCGTTGGAGGATCAGAAAATGGAATTGCCTAGAAACATGGGAGTCCTGGCTAAAGTTTGCCTTGGATTCACAGGGCTGAAAATCTGTTTAAACTGAATTTGAGTCTTTCTTTTTAACGGCCACCTTAATGGAACTAAGTAGCAAGTAAGCTTTTCCCCCACCTTAACACTAACAACATAAATGACCCTGACTGGTATTCAGAAACAGGTTCAGTTTAAAATCTGAATTAATCGTTTAGAATCAGAAATATGAAACACTCTCACATGTTTATTTGTGTGGTTACGGTCAATCATTGATCCTGAAATACATGAATGGATCTTTTGTGTTGTTCCTGAAAGAATAATCAGCAGATTATTCTTAGTTTACTGGAAAGATGGATAGTCAAAGCTACCTATGCCTGTGCTTTTTCTGCTTGTACATTTATGAATTACCTTCTGCAGAGGCCTATAATTTCCATATTGGTCCCAGACATTGAATGACACTGCTGAAGTGATGTATAATGTTTGTGACTCTGTCCCCAGTTGAGAATGTTGCTTTCAGGTTGTGGGTCTGCCTGCAGTAATTAACAGTTTCTATGTTGCTAGAATGGGAGGAAATTCTAAACCACCTTTGCATATATTTTGAGAACTGAAGTACATGACATGCTCACTCGCTCTGCGTTTCGTCGGAGGGCTGAGAGGGTAATGGCTGCAGAAAGCATAGGTAATAATTGAAGCTCCTGTGTAGAGCTGTTAGGACTCTCAACTAAGTCAGCTGTTATGGGGGTGCTTACTTAATTTCTGCATTAGCAGGGCTCCTAGGGTGCAGTTCTGTACCTTCTGTTCAAAAATCCAGCATAAGCTATACTACCAAAACATTACTGGTGATGTAGGATGTTTCTACTACTGTACATGCATCAAGTAATTATCCTAAAAAGCTATTTTTTGTCTAGTAGAGAGTAATCCTAAAGAACCCCAAAGAGTTCTGTGTGGACATGTGGTGCCCCTACAGTGTTTTAAGTCAACTGTGAATGCATTGCTCTTTGGGAAATGGAGTTACTTCACTAGATCTTTTCTCCTTTATCATCTTCATTGGTGCCCTTCTGAGACTATATACGAAGTCCTATTTTTGGTTTTCCTTTCTCTATTCCTTTTTACTTCTTCTTTAAAAAAAAAAAAAAAAAAAAAAAGGCATAGGAGTTACTTGTAGGGTACACAGGTTGGTCTAGGTTCAGCAGTGCAATTGGCTTCCCTCCTCCCCGGTCAGTATTACTAGATTCTGCCAAGCATCGTCACCTGCCTGTCTGTAAGAATATCAAAAGGCAAAGTATGCTGACGTGTCATTAACACACTTATTCAGTTTCAAACAGTAGTCTGTCTTTAGAGAGAAATATGTCGGAATCTTAGGGCTAAATTCAGTTCAATTGAGGTCTCTAAGTCAGTTCTCTCTTGATGCGAAGAACGATAACTCCTTTACTTAATGTAACCTTCAGATTCAAGAAGACCTGCGTGTTTCACCTTAATCTAAGGATTTAGACATGCCTCTATTCAATACATGTCAGTATTTCGTTAATTAGTATTACAGCCCCATATTTCCGGAGATGGAAAAATACAGCTTTTGAGTATGAAACACAGAAGCAACACAGCTGCTTCCTAAGCAACACGTCTGCAAAATATGCCTGCATATTTCACTGATGTGTTTGAAAAGGCTGCTCTCCACCTAAGGCAGTTGTACACTTGAAAAACACCTTTCGTTAATGTCTCTTAGCGGTGGGCTTTTCTGAACGTTACCTGAGTGTTCAACTTCATTGCAGTATGGAAATGGGCGAGTGAAAACCCTGTGCTGGTTTGAGTGCTGCAGTGTGAAAAAAATGACCTTAGCTTGAGCGGCAAGGTTTTCAGCAGCCGGCAGGAAATGATGAAATGTGCTCAGAGAGAATTTTGTTTGTGGAAGTGGAGGTCAGGCAGAGCTGTGCAGGTACTGCAGCTCCCTGTGCTGTTGTGCTGCTCAGCTCCATGTTTGGGGAAAAGCAACTGAACTGAGGCATGTCTTTTAAGGTAAGTTTCTTGCTTACCAACCAAATAGTTCTTTGCTTTTTCCAACCAGAAATGTACTATTCTGCTTCATGGCTGGTTTGAAAGTATTTTTGGCCAAATGGAGGTGATATTTTTGTAAAGCATTTAACATTTGTCAGTGTAAGGGCGTTTGTTTAATCATGGTTGGAAAAATTGCTTTCAAACAGACTGCGTCTGAAACATGGATGGAAGATGGAAAGCTCTGATATCTGAGGCAGCGTTTCTTGTAATACTCTTTGCTTCTAAATCATATGCCATTTTAGAACAGTTGTAGCCACGTCACTTTTCTCTGTAGCTACTTTCTCAGTGCAGCTGTAAATGCTTTTCTGCGTTTTCTCTGCTGGAGGATGCATCACTGCAATCCTCTTGTTCAATTTCTCTGCACTATTCTTGCTGCTCTGCTGTCAAATTCTGCTTGAATTTGTTTTCTGAGTTGCAGAACGAGCTAAGTATTAGGCACATAGATGTTAAATACTCTCATTATGGCTTTGCTGAAATCAGTTTTCATTATGAAGAATATTCTGAGCTTGCTATCTATTTCCAGCGAATAAAGAGTTGTTATTTGTTAAGTGTCTGGCCACTTTAAAGGTTTCTTAGGAATTAAATGCTTCCCAAGTGTAATCTGGAAATTAAAGGGACATGGTCTTGTATACCTTTCTTGCTTCTTAGAAGCAAACCTAAAGGCACATTTATCTTGATTTTATTTACACTGAGTTAAACAGAAAGGTTTCTTTCATGTTGGAAGACCTTGACAGGACATGTTAATTAATGGATGATGTCACGGGATCTAAAAAGGTGACAATTAGAAGACTTCTATTCAGATTGGATTTTTCCTGCACTTTAATCACTCAGTTTTAAATAATGAAAAACTTTGTTTTAAAGTTTTATGTCTTTTAAATGTATAATATTTAATTTTCAAATAATTTAAATAATAACAAATCCAACAAATAATAACTTCAATGAAAAAATCTTGACTCCACAGTCAAAAGATTTTTCAGGTGGTTTCCTGGCAAAATTTACTGAAAGCAATTTTATTGTTCTTTTTTTTCCCACAAAGAAAGAAGTGGATTCTTGATTAAAAATCAACAACAACAACAAAAACCCAGCCCTTAGTCTCCTAAAGGAACAATTCTTACAGTTTCCTTGTTGAGAAGGCTACCATTTAGTATTACACTGAATAGCATAACACAAGTGTCTTATGGCCTCAGTCCCTTACAGCCCTGGATCTAAAATCCAAGAACTGGATATTTAAATTGATTTTTTTTTTTCCTGTAGTAAGTCCGTGTTGCAGGATTTAAAATCTCAAACAAGTGTTTTGTGACCAAATATCTGCTGTCAAATTGCTTCCATATGTTGCTTCTCTTTTGTACATCTCAACAGAAATGGAAAGTGACATACTTTTTAGTGTGTTATGGCTAGATTCTGTATTTAATGTCAGTGAAGGATACTATTCAAGGGTACTTCTTGCTGTATCTTTTCTTGTTACCTGATGAACGTGCAGGTAGTGTTCAGTATATGTCATTGTGGCATACCTCCAAAGTTTGCATAAGAATTAAATCCAGATTAAAGCCTGTATTGGCTTTAATCTTTACTTCGTGTGGAAAATGTTATGCTGAGATCTTCGTTTCTCTTGTTTTAAAGCAGTCATGAGAGGTGTTTTTATAGAACAGAAATGATCTCCTTTACTGTGCTTGTCTGGAAGGCTTCATTATTTAACAGTACTTTCTTTTCTGTTTTTAGGAACAGTCGATATAGAAATCAGTCCGAAAATCTGGAGAGAGAATCTGGGGAATGGTTGTCTCCTTCCAACGGTTACTGACTTGACTAATATACAGTAAGTGTATGATAAAGTATGTAGTATACCCATCTTAAAGAAGTAAAAACAAAATGCTTATAGTTTTGGGGTTTTCATGTTATTCAATGACTACTTTCTTTTTGGTCACCTTTATTTCATCTCCAGATGTAGTACTAATTTTGCTTTTCTTCTGCAGAGGAATCCTAATAGGAAATGTTGCTAATAATGCTTTCAGGAGGGAGTCTTAATCTGCCAAGAAGCATTGTTGATTCAGGAAGCAAGATACAACTTCGTGTAGTGTATCAAAGCTAGCCTACATTGAAGATAGTAATGTTTAGAGCAGATAGAGAAAGATGATGTGTTTTCATCCTCCAGTGGGATGAGGTAAAATAACTGAAAAAATAATTTAAAAAATATCTACATCCTTTGAGAACTTGAGAATATGTTTTTTTTTTAAAAGGGATGCTTCAGTGTTTTGTTAGCAGGCTTGTTTTTGAGTTCTTAACTGCAGTAAATGGTGCTCTTAGTGTTTTTTGGAGGTTATCAAATTAAAGAAACTAGAGATGCTTTACTTCAGGTAATAGTTCCAGACTCATATATTAACAAGACAAAGTTCATCTTAAATCAATGCCTGAAGTTTTTGAAGTCATTGGTAATACATTTCATGTTATCTTCGTAACATTTTCTTTGATGCTTATGCTTTTGATTGAATTTGTGTCTGTACAAAATCATAAGTGTTTTGTTGCATTTGTCAGGCTTTTCTGACACTGTGTATGTGTTCCCATTTGCACCGTATTTTCAAGTCTGTAAACGCTCACACGTTCTCCAGCAGTGCTTGTTTTAAAGGATGTCTAAAAATGTAAGAGATTTAGATTTTGCAGTACATTCTGAAGGACAGGAAATGTTTTCGGAAAGACTTCCAGATCTTGTAGGCAGTCTGTTTCTTTTCTAATTATGTTTCTTGCTCTGAGAGATCTTAGCTTTCTTTATTCAGAAACACATTTGAGGAAATCAGAGTACAATACTCTTGTGTTATCATGCTCCTTTTCCTTCATGAAGTAGCTGGGATTAGAGACTTGTTTACATTTCCTTCCGTAATATCAGGATGGCATTCAAAAACGTTACGCGTTCCTTATCTGAAGAATATAAAACAGCATGGGTGAAACTTGCTGCATTCAACCTTTTCATCGTTTTAAATTTGTAGATTTGTAATTAAATTTAACAATGCTTCTGTGTTAGAGTTCTGGCTTGGGGAAATTTATTCATTACTGTTAAATTCTCGTACTGCTCAGTCCATGGTTTGAAATCTCTCCTGCAATAGCTAGCTGCTCATGGAACTCTATTTGCAAAGCTGGAGGCTTTGCTTAGGTGGCTGAGGTTGAAAAACATCTTTTTAATGGGAACATAGGAAACTGTGTGCACCTTTTTGTCACTAAAAAATCGTCCTAAAAGATCTAAATGTATTCAGATAGATTCATGAAGATTGAAACTGAAGATAGCCATTTGCACTCTTCTTGCTATGGATTGTCATTACTCTCACTTCTCTGTAATTGATCTCTTTTTCCTGCCTTTAAAGAATAAAATTTCTATCAGTTGATGCTTTCATGAGCATCAACTCCAAATTTAAGCACTTAATGTTGTTTAGTAGTGATCATTAAAAAAAAAACCAACAACAACAAACCTTTTTGGATCAAATGCAATAGAAGCATGTTATGCAGTGAAGCCTTTCATTGGCATTGGATATTTTAACACTAAAATGTAGCAATGAAGTAATTTCTGTTCAGATCTATGCTTGGAATTTGAAGTAAGAACTTTCTGTGTTGGTGAGCAGGAGATCACAAGGGCTGGTGTACAGCAGGAGCGTTTTAAGTGTTGTCCAGCTTTGAGCAGAGCACTGCAAGTGCAAGCTCATTTGGTATTTGAAGAACTTGGAGACTTTTACTGTCTTTTTATTCTTGTTACTGCATCACCTCTTACACTTACAGTTAAGCAAAAGTGCGTAGTCTGAATATATTAAACTTCTAAGTACAACTAAGTCTTCTAGAACTCCCTGGGTAGCTGCATATCGACCTCATGGCCTTCACCAACACAGGCATGCCATTTAAAGCTTGTATTTCTTTCCTGTGGTCGGTGTCTGTTTCTTTTAAAAATTAGAAACCTCTGTGAAGCCTCTCAACATGGTTAGCAACCATATGGCTAAAGCAAAAACCACACCATTAAAATATCCACCTGCACGGAGATGACAAAAAAATATAATTTTTCTCGGTTGCTCATTTTGCTGTGCAAGTCATCTCTTGGCTTGGTTCTAAATATGCAGACAGAGGTTATACAGACAGCGTGTGGGAGCTCATAGTGATGGGTAAGTCTTGAATGTCTGAAAAAAACAACCCAGTACAGATGACAGCAAATGAAAGGAGAGGAAGATAGGGGCTGACAGCTGGTTCACAGACAAGTGCATCGCCCTGGTATTGCTTGTGCCTGCAGTAAGGACACACGGTTACAAGAGAGAATTCCCCAAGAGGTTTTAAGGGTTCAATTGCTTTGTCTTCAAATATAAAACCAGACAGAAACAACAGCTCATAACTTTGGCCTATCTTCTACGAGTACTCGAATGACATCATAACGTAAGTATCTGAAGCCTGATGCTGAGAATCTATTTGGCAAAGTTTGGGTACTTGTCATGCACTACAAAGGTGGACTTCTGTGTTCTAATATTCAAAGATTGTCGCATTTAATCAGTAATTTAAAATGTTACTTATTTAATCGGATATTCAAGCTGTTTTAAATGGGAATATAACAACTGAAGTAGTTGTTCTCACTCTTTATATTATATGGTGTGAAATTTATACACTGTAAAATTTCAGTTATGCAGTGTTGATGTGTCAGGTGACTAAACTGAGATAGTCTTATCAGTGTAGTTGGATTTTTTTATTGTGTGGTAAGTGTCAAGGTACTTCTGGCTGCTTTATTGATCTTCTGTTGTGTGCTGGAAATTGGTTGTTTGCTCATTGCCTGCATGTAAAGGCAGTGAACTAATGCTGTTTTTAGTGGTTTTCTCTGCTGCCTGTTACAGATGTGACATTTTAGCGAATGTGAGTATCACTGAATACAGTTGTAGGAAGCTGTCTCAAATCGAATTCTTAACTCATAGTTTTGTTTTGATTTTTGCTGTTTTGTTTTTAGTTCTGTGTTTTGCTTAATTGGCATTTAATACCATTTAACACTTCTGATCCTGGGCCAGTGCGTGGGGAGCAAGGCAGCCAGTAGCAGCTGCACACCTGTGAAAGCACCTTTCCTCTGCCTTCCTCCACTTCAGGTGCAGCTGAGTGTTTCTTCTCCTCTTCCTCCTCTTCCCTGTGCTCTCATGGTGGGTGGCTGACACCAGTATGGGCTTGCCTTGCAGCTGCCCCCAAATTACCTTTCTCCAGTGTGCGGGCACACTGGCAGCCCCATCGACATCCTGCTTGTTAGGGCCAAAGCAGATATGTAAGGAATCTGTCCTTCCTCTTTTTTAAAGTTATGAATGGCTGGGACAGACTAGTAGCTTGTATGCTGTCTCTGTCACAGAAGAGAAGGCATAATGCAGATCATGTTAGTGTGCATTTCTTAGTTTCCTTGCCTCGGTGCTCACAATACTGAGGTTACCACCAAATGGATTGCTGTCACCTTTCAAAAACCCATTTGTTGTGCTGCTCTGACTGAATTCCATAGGAGGCAGTGATTTGGTTTCCCTTTACAGACTCTTTTCTTGCATTTGTTGGTGTAGTTGAGTTTTTGGAGGAAACTAATAGATTTTCTTTGATCTCTGTGTAAGAGCATGCTATTCTCCCTTGTAGATTGGAAAATAAGAACTAAGGCAAAGCTGTTGATTTGAGACTATGGCCTCAAAAGGCTGAGGCCTAACTTGTATTATTAGTAGGCAGTCATATCTTCTAATCACAATTAGGGGTGTTTACAGCACTGAATAGTAGTGAATAAACTTGGTTTGATGCCCCTGCATCCTGGAGCTAAAATTCCTAGATGTCGCTTGAATGCATAAACTGAAGAAAACATTTTTTCCTCTGGTCCAATCCGTGTGTGGACTTCAAGTATAAACCAGGTTTTGGTTTATAATTTCACATTATTTCTCAAAGACTGTGTTTTTCTGACCATGTAGAGCCATCCAGAAATTGCAACCCCAAAGAAATCAGGAGCTCTCCTACAGCAGATTGTTTGGACAGGACAGAAAAAGAAGGAATGTCTAAATGGCTTTATTTAACCCAAGAATACAAGATACACTTTTTTGTAATGCATGTTTGTGGTAGCTGGGCTTAGCAGCAAAGCACAGTGGTTTGTACTTGAAGCACAGGATGTTTGTTTCTGTACAGCAAAGACTTCAGTGAGTAATACAGAAAAATACCATAGCTGAAAGTGTTTGTTAGTAGCCGGTCTAAGCTGAGTTGTATTCGTACCCTTATTTGTATTTCACTCCCTAGTCACAGAATGTGGAATCCTGCTGAGTCAGATCCAGAGTGACAACTTCTGCTCCTCCAAACAGGAATTTAAAGGGGGATGTGAACAGGTGCATTTCTTCTAGATGCTGTTAAACTGCCTTTGAGTTTGCTTCTGAAGAGTCCTTAAAGAAAACACAAGGGTAGTAGTAATGGCTGAAGAGACTGTTCGGTTTCCTAAAAACGAATTGATTTATTTTTTCCTCAGCATGAGGAATGCTAAACACTGGGCTGAAGCGCACAGAGAAATCGTGCAGTCTCCATATTTGCAGGCTTTCAGGACCCAACTGTATAAAGTTCTGAGGAATCTGGTCTGATCTCATAGCTCACCCTGCTATAAATGATTCAGTCGTTCATGTAACTGAAGTTTTCTTGGTTGTGGACTAATTTGTCATGCAGAGCCTCAGGATTAGAGATTGTCTTGCTTTAAAGCACCTGTCGTACATGAGAGATTAGTTGGAAGGATGATTGCTATGTTGTGTGGGCACTGGGAACTCCTGTTGGCTCATTCTGTTCTGCAAACAGTGAAGTTCTAGAAGTGGGGCACGAAAGATCATGCCTTCTGCTTGTTATCTGGATTGTGCATTTTGGGAAATGTTGAGCAGGTCTGTAGGGCAAGGCTATGGTATTGCCTTCAGGTTTTGAGTATGTGAAATAGTGTTTTATCTGCAGATGTCCTTCATGTTGGAATATCAGACTTCCAGCACCTAGTTTTCCTCTTTGTTGCATGCAGTAAGCAACATGAAGACCCTAATTTTTTTTTTTCCTTTTTAATGCTATCCTCTTAAAATATAGACATCTTCCAAGGGGGTTCAGAACATTAAAATCTGACAATTTGACAAACAGTTCTACATGTTTCACAATAAGAGTTCGTTAAAAACTTGTCTGTTCTGAAGGAAGAGCTGGGTTGAAGAATGCCTTTAAATACTGTTTTTCCTTTTTTTTTTCTGTTAGAAAACGAAGAGAAATTTTGGCATAGCCTGGATTATTTTGCCATCTTAAGTCTGCATTTGTTGCCCAGACTTTTGCAAGTCGTGTGATGTGCTAAGCTCTACCACCTGACACAACAAAAAGGGAATAAAAAAGAAAATCAAGTGTTTTCCACGTGAGCAAAGTAAATGCTTTTTGAATTTTGTGAATTGCTTTCAAGGTAACAGTATCAAAACTGACGTCTTGAGAGCAGAAGCAGCATATTTCATTCAGATCTTTCTGTGCAATTTCTGAAGGCCTGCTTGGCTACTATTAGTTAATATTTTCTAAAAATCTCATTTGTTGAACCCTCAGGATATTTATAGCAAGTCTTTTCACATTAGAGGGCACTAGCAGTAGAGGAAAAGCATCAAGGTTTTTAGCATGTAGCATTTCTAGAATGTTCCCTAAGGAGGAAGCTTTTTTATTAATAAATCTCATTTGTTTATTGCTCAGTTAGTGTCTTAAAAATCACTAAGAAATTTGAGCTTTTCTTACCAGTGCCATTTCTGTAGTTACTACAGTATTTGCTATTTAGTATCCTGTAACTGTCATCCTATAACTATTTAGTTTAGTTACTCTTTTCGGTTGGAATTTGTGGTTTGCTTTGAGCTACATGAGTTCTCTTAGCTCCCGTGTGCTGACACTGTGGTGAACAACACCAGGGCTGTGTGCTATTAAGATCTTCTCTGTGCTGCCTCACATTTGGTGGTTTGTGTCTGCAGCAACATGGGTCAACCTTTGATAGATAAAAAACTGGGATTTTATTCTGTAATGAAAATCCCAGAGATCTTTGGTACAGAGGAAGAAAATATCGAAGATTTAACACGATGATGTACCTGCTCAAGAAAGCTGGTGTGGGCTCAGTAATGATGCACCGTGCGTGGTGAGCTGGCTGACAAGTCAGCTTGGAGGTGGGCAGAAACTGCCAGAACACCATGGTACTGCCTGCTCAGCAAGAAAAGGGTAATGTAGGGCTCCTAGAGAGGGCCTGAAGCTGTGGAAGAAGACCGAAGCTGGAGTGCCTGAAGCAAGTTGTGGAAATGCAGGAACTGGGTGTGTGCACCTTGCTTTCTTACAGAGTTGCTAGTTCTGCTACTTACAGCCTTGCTGACCAAAGAACTCCCAACTTTTTACTGATCATATGCAGGAGCCATCTCTTTTGGCTTACTGATCTAAATGGCCCATATTTTATTCTGGCAGCCTTCGTTGTTCTCAGGCTTACTTTTCACAGTTAAGCATATGACCCTCACTATCAACATGTAACTGACTTTCATTGTGAAGCCCTGCAAATTCATTTGAAGGATGGGAGAACCAAACCCTAACAAAAAATGTGCTAAAGAACTGGCTGCTGTAATAAATCTATTGCATGAGAGCAGCATGACTCATTCAGTTTGATGTTGGTATTTCAGTATTCCGTTTATTTTTAAGTTGTGCTGTACAAATAGTGTTTTTTTGTGCCTGTTGTTGCTATGACTTCATAATATTTCCCTAAATACGCTTGCTCATACTTTCTCACAGCATAGTACTTGGCATAGGAAAACCTTAAATCCATCAGAATTTCCTGAGTGCTGATCATTTTCATGCTTTTATGGAAAAAAAAAAGGTTAGTGTGTTACGTACTTTTGGTTTAGGAGGAATAAAACTTTGAGGGGGAGGAAATTGCCACAACCTGCTCCCTCATTTAAGAAAATGTTCCTTTGTTTCAACCTTTCCTATTTTTCAGTGTAGCTTTTCAGATAAAGCTTTCCAGCGCTCATATAGCCTAGGCCGTCTTAATAAGAGGAAAGGTAAGAAGGTAAGGTGACACTGTCGTTACTTCAGAACACTTTCACTGTTTTCTTTAGAAGGAAAAAATAGGTCTTCTGTGCTTTTTTGGGGGGGCATAGGGGATGTGTAGGGGGTGGCTGGCTTGATTTGGGTTTATACTTTTGATAAAATTATTTGTTCTTCTGAAACACTGAGCTCAACAATCCTCAGCTTGATCTTTCCCAAACAGCAACAAACACTTTGGTTTTAAAGACTGTGTTGTAACTGCTGTAGGAGATCGATGCAACCCTTCCTGAGAACCTCACTCAGTCTGCATAGCATTCCTGGGTTGCATTTGCTTCATTCACTGTTGGTTTTGAGAGTACTGTGTTTGTGCTCCTTAATGTGGAATATCAGAGAGGCAAATAAACATCTGAGAAAATAGCTAGCAGTGTTTGGTCAAGCAAGTTGTCTGCTAGGTGTCCTTTTGATCAGAAAAAGTGTCTGGAATTATTGTTAAAGGTACCACCGCATAGCCTTGTATTTTCAGGAAAACTTTAAAATAATCAAACTCTTGGGGGGGAAAAAAAAAAACAACAACTTTTTAATATCAAACTATTGTTTCAAGTTTGTCCAACTACTTGAAAGCTTATGGCACTCTTGCATCCTCTCTGTGCTGCTTCTACCTATCTGGGAAGGGCTGTCAGAAAACAACACTTACAAATATGTTCTTTGTTTTCCTTACTGTAAGAATAGTCAGGGCCGATGTTTACTTGAAAAGAATGTATTCTAATTACACGTAGGCTGCTAAGAACTGTTTAAACAGTGTTTTAGTGCAAGAAACAAGTAGATGTGGTGCTTAGGGTAGTGGTTTAGTGGTCATTGTGGTGATGGGTTGATGACTGGACTTGGTGATCTTGAAGGTCTTTTCTAACCTTAAAGATTCTATGATTCTGTTTTCCCCCTTGATTCCATACTAGCACAGGTGGTAAAACTTTTCTCCTGGTAATTATTATTAGCAAATTGAAGATTACTACACTAACATATAAAACTACTTTGTCTCCATATTTCTCATCATCCTTTCAAAGGTGCAGAAAGACCTTATTACTTCTGTATTTTAAGTGTAACAGTGACTAATTGTAAGGAATTATAAATAAGGATTTCTGGTTTGTGACCAAATGACTCTTTATGGAGAATTTTTTTTTTTTTTTTTAATAGAACAACTGCTACCCCTTGTTTCCTTGACTCGCAGAACCCTTCCTGTATTTTTGAACATCTTTTTGAAATTAAATGTAATTGATATCCTAGGGTGGATAAGTGATAGGATGGGGGAATGGTTTTAAACTGAGACGGGGAAGGTTCTGGTCAGATACTAGGAGGAAGTTTTTCACACAGAGGGTGGTGACACACTGGAACAGGTTGCCCAAGGAGGCTGTGGATGCCCCATCCCTGGAGGCATTCAAGGCCAGGCTGGATGTGGCTCTGGGCAGCCTGGTCTGGTGGTTGGCGACCCTGCACGTAGCAGGGGGCTTGAAACTAGATGATCATTGTGGTCCTTTTCAACCCAGGCCGTCCTATGAGACTGTGATGTCTCTTTGGCAGTTTTCAGTTCTCTATTCAGTATTAGAGCTATTTAAGTTTTCTATGAATTTGAATGTGGAAGTAATTGTCACCTTCAAGTAGACCTTTTGCCATGAGATATGCAGCTTTTTACTTAGTACACTGGGAATAGTAGATATGTATTGTACTGTCATTTCAAATCTATTCTCTCCTTTAGAATCCAGAGGAGCGTTGGCAAAAAAAAGAAGCAAATGACACAGCTGTTAGTTAGCTGGCCTGGTATGAGGTCTGGTCACAGGTGACTGTAGGTGAAATAACTGTCTGAATAACTTATGTACTAAGGTTTTCAGGGAGGAGGCTGGCTTTGCCTCCTGCAAATTGAATTCAGTAACTCTAATCGTCTTTCCTGTAGCTTTTTGCTTTCTGTTGTTGAGGGAGGAAGCTGTTTGCTTTTGTGGGTGCCTTTAGCTTTTAGTAGATTATTTGAATCTAAGATTCCTGTAGAAATGGCAGGAATGGAGGAGGTTTATTTTTAAATCCATAGTTGTTCTTGGCCTTAAATGTTTCCAATGGTTTTTATTACATAATGTAGTTTTCCAATGAAAAAGAAATGGTTATTGTATTGTTAGCAAAGTTCAACCGATCGTCTCTTAGAGTGCTTTGCATGCTCAGCAAGTAGAAATCACACTGTTCAACTGTCTTTAAGAGATTTCCTTTTTTTCTTAAAGTAAATGTAAACTGTAAGTTCAGTGATATTTGACAGATGAATTGAACAGCTTCTGAACACCGTAAATACGATGGTAGAGCTGAGAACTGACAGGAAATGATTCTGTTTCAGAATGCACTTACATGCTGTGTGTGCTTGGCATTTGTTTTTATTTTGTTCTTCATGATATCCAAGAATTTAAGGATGGTACTTCATTTTTCTTCTAATAACTGTTCTTCATTAATAACGCTCTTTTTTTTTTTTAATCTCTGTGCAGGTTTTGAAGGTGTTGAAGCTCTGAATTCTTGCAAGCTCTCCATACGTAGAAATGTCTGGCTTATACGATGATTCTGTTGGAGTAGAAGTTTCTAGTGATAGCTTCTGGGAGGTAACCTAAGCCTTTTATTCACAGTATTTTGATTTTGTATTTTTTCTCTTACTATAGAAAATTTGTTTTTTTGTGCACGATAAACTGTGGAGAGAGCTGCAATATAAGATGTCTCCGGTTACTGTGATCTGCAGAAATAGCCTTCAGGGTAAAAATGACTTTTTAGATTTTGGCCCAGTTCTGTCAAGGTTTTTTAAATGGCAGAGACTTGAGAAACGTCCTTTCTGATGCAGTGTGCAATCCAGAATCTAACCTTTGCAGATTCTAATTGCTGGGGGCAGGGGGAAGAGCTTTTAAAATTATCAATGGAATTGAATGAACAATATTAAATTGAAAGTAACTGGTTAAACACTATTGTAAGTATACATAGCTTAATGTTTAAGCTAATATATGAATTTACTGCATTTGCTGCTGGTGCCTAGGTGTAAGATTATTTTTTTTGAGAGAACTTATGCTCTCTCAGTGTAAGAGCGTTCATGCAGAAAGGTAATATAAAGCACAGTGCAAGATCACACTAACTTCTGCCAAAGTCTGGAGAAGGCTTTCACATGTCACAATAACTTCATAAAAGTTTAAAGAGAGCAAACTTCATAAAGCAGAAAGCATGTTACTAAAGAAGTTAATTACAGGAAACAAGTGTTTGACACAGCCAGTACCGCAGTGCTGCCTGTGGTCAGTATGCAGTCTAGATGAACTGTATTCAGTGGGGTAAATTTCTACCGTGTGACTGGCAACTGAATTTAGCTGTAGTAAATATGGGGAAAATATCTGGACCATTCTATGTCAGACATCTTGGTTTTGGTTGTCTACCATTGTGTTTCCTTTTAGATGAAAGCATTTCTAGGCTTCCAATGAATTCTGGTGGTAATTGTGTTTTGATGCAGATTTCCTGTATCTAAAAGGCCTATCTAATGCTGAAGTTACTGTTGGGGCTCTTTTTAATAGGCAGCTAATGCTTATTGGGAGATTTATTTACTATTATGTGAACAATGACTATTCTGTTTATCAAGAATTATTTTAAACATATTGGATTGTCAGTTTTATGAATACTTTTTTTTGTAGGGGCGCTCTGTAGTATGATTGCAGAAAGAATGTGGGATCTTCACACTCTAGAGGTCTCTTTGGAGCTTCCTCCTCTCCAGGCTGAAGAGCCCCAGCTCTCTCAGCCTGTCCCCATAGGGGAGGTGCTCGAGCCCTCTGATTATCGTTGTGGCACTCTGAAGCCATTCTGCACCCAACTTGTATCTGTGCTTGGGATTGCCTTAACCCAGGTGCAGGACTTTGTTTTTGGCCTGGCTGAACTTCATGAGGTTTACATGACCCACTTCTCAAAACTATCCAGGCCCCTTTCGATAGCATCCCTTCCCTTTAGCATGTCAACTGCACCACTCAGCTTAGCGTTGTCTGCAAACATGCTGAGGGTGCACCCGATTCCACTGTTTGTGTCACCTGCAAAGATAATAAATTGCACCGATTCCAGCATCAGTCTCTGAGGAGTGCCATTGATCACCAATCTCCATTTGGATGTTGAGCCATTGACCACAATTTTATTGAATGTGACCATCCAGCCAATTCCTTATCCAGCAAGTCATTATAATTCTATGTAGCATCATGTAACAGTGACGATTTTTAATCCTGGTCCTGAACAAGATGCTTGGACTAAAGCACAACTTAAGGGCAAATGGGAAAGTGCTGAATGTGCTGCCTGCTGCAGTGCAGCTTTGATATAGAATATTTTGAGCAATTTCTTTCATCTGGGAATAGTTTTCTTGTGACCTCCACGCTGTACTTTTGTGCATTTCAGTGTGAGTCATTGCAATTGAACATATATGCCTCTTACTAGCCTGGACTGTAGTTTGATTTATATGTAGTTCTGAATATTTTCATTAAATGAATAATTAAGACATCCTGCAGATACTTAAGCCAAATTTTGTCATGACATAAGGTACCTTTTGTCTCTAAGCCTTGCCTTTCTGCAGGACAGCCTGAAAAAACAACAAGGCAAGAATTACTCCTAAACTCAAGAGTTAATAAGGGGGAGGTATGCCAGACTTCCACTATCAGTAGAACATTAACTTGAAGCGAAGGACATCTTGTACCAAGACGTCAACTTAAGAGTAACTCTTCAGTATTAACAATGACATGTAGACACTAATAGCAGGCCTGTCAAACTTAATTACCATGCTCTTGGCTTGCTGGGTTTGGAGCCATCTTTGCAACCAAAGTTTGTCTGAATTTTAGATTAAAATTTGTCATTTTTCATTATCTTCTGAGTCAATTATTTTGTTTCTGAAAATTGCAACTTTGAGCTCCAACCTTGTCTTTCTCAAACTGGATAAATAAACTGCTGTGATCCATGTTTTTCATCTTAATTAGAAAAGATGCAGCATCTCAAGAATCACAGCCTCTGTACTTTATGCTTCACAATAAGAATTACAGCATTCTTAATCAATTTATAAGTTGCAGTGTTACTGCAGACTTGTCATTTGCATCCTTTCTGTTTCATCAGAAGTTTTTAAGGTGTGACATGTTCATTTTTGCTGTTTGTTTTTAAAGACAGCCTACAGTTTGTTGAAAGCCACGTTGTTGTGTTTCACTGCCACAACTGAATGCAGTGAATGTATTTAAACCTGGCTGTGCCACAGAAGAGGCAGACATGGTAAGCTTTTGAATTTGTTGCCTCATACTCCAAAATAGCTCAAATTTATTTACCTTTGGAGCTTGCTGCGAAGCACATCTTTTCCTTGAAAGACACTTAGGAAAGAGTGAGGTGGCTGGCTGTGGAATGTACCCTAAGAACTTCCTGTGAGGACTGTGGTTTTTCTCACTGCGTATCTTTGAAACTGAACCACTTTTATTTTTCAAATGTTGTCATTCTATTGAGCTGATAAAATTGTGTTTATTGAAGTGTTTATAAGCTAGTTAAGTTTTTGCCGTTGCAGTTCAGACCTCCATGAAATGTCATCTGACTTTAACTGGTCAGCTTTTTCTTTTGGATTGCAAGAACAGATGATTAGGCTTTCAGAAATACCTTTCCATACCATAAGTTGGAAATAGAAGCTTTCACAGGTAAATTGAAAAAAGTTTTTCATTGTTTAGTTAAACTTCTAGTACTGGCTTGCATTTTTGTCTCCTAGTGGAAGCAGAAATCCATTCCAGTAGACCACATCTGTCCCTTCACCTCCTGCCCCTCCCAAGATTCTTCCAGATGTTCAGCAAATAAAAATATTTTAGGAGATGGAAAAATTGATGCATGTTTTCATCTACGCTTGGTTAGAGAGCAAGGAATTGCAAAATATTAAGGAAGGACATTCTGAGAGATAAGAGATAACTGCTACAGGAGGGTTTCATCAAATTTCAACTGTAGTAATGCCCTGCATTACTTAAGAAATTGAAACCTCTTTTTCATTCTGACAAGTTTCAGTGTACCTTGATAGATTTGGCTGAACTCAGGCTGTTTATTGGGTGCAGAACTTAGGGTGTGCACTGGGTGCACAGAGGAATCTTGTTGATATGTTCCAAGAAGAAATTCCTTCATTGGTGTTACTTAGCTGACAGAGTAACGTGTTCTGGAAGCTACTGATTATGGCCTGGAGCAGGATGGCAGCAACATTTCCAAGGGAATGTGGGAAATTTGGTGCCCAGGATTCACCTAGAAACCTTCTGGATTTTTTCCATCTGCTATATTGAACAACAAAAAAAACCCTGTCTTGTTCCAATATTTTGTGAAATTACTTTAAAATACAAGAAACAGACAACCCTATTGGCCTTCAATACAGTGATAGTATTGAATTCCACATAATTTGGTATACAAAACTGGCCTTCTGTTAATTATTATGATGCGTTTGTTAATAAGTCCCAGCGTTATGCTTGCTAATCACTGCTGTGGTCATATTAAAAATGCCTTGAGCAAGCTGAGACAAATGCTATTGTTCACTTAGATATCCGTGAAGGTAAGAAAGATGATGATTAGGCGTTGGTAGAGATCAAAGTAAAAGTATATGCGTATTTTGCAAGGTAAGGCATTGAAAGGAACAGCTACAGCCTGTAGAAATGCTTATTTTTAATGACCCACAGGTTATTCATTGACAGTGCCACCTATACCCTAGATATGAGTCCTTGTTCTCCCTTATTCTCTGTTTGTGTCAGCTGTATGGGCACCTTTGATATGATGCACTTGGAGTGAGTGTTAGTAAGATACTGGAGGAAGTCCACAACCCCATTATTTTTTTTTTTTTTAATTTTTTTTTCCTCTGCACAGTATGCCCTGGGAGGCTCAGGTTGTTAGAAAAGCAAGGAGCTTTTATCTGAAAATACTAAGGACTGGTGATCTTACAGAAGCAGAATGAATTCACTTAGTGACTAAGAATCAGGGTCTGAGAAGTATGTTCTGCGTTTTAAATACGCCCCCAAAGAGGAGAAGAATAAACTAATGATTTAAAAGATATGAAGTATCAATGATTTGTTAATTGTGATGTTTTAAAAATTCTGAATGCATTCAGTGTAATTTGCATTCAGTGTCATGAAAAAAATGACAGAAAAATGCTTTGTTTCCAAAACTTTTGACTTTCTTCATAGGTCGTGAAAATTGAATGTGATGTCTAATGTGATTTATGAAACGTTTGTGTGTTTTGAATGAACATTTTTGGTGTTTGGTTTGAAAATATTATAGAAGACATTCTTTGGAATACAAAGTTGTTATTCCGTAGCATTGTAGGCCTTGTTCTTGTTCTTTACTATCATGCCAGTTCTTTCAGTCTTCTTCAGCTGAAGGAGGTGGTGTGGGTGAATCTTCTCTGGTCTACATGAGGCGTTTTTACAAATGGCCTTCTGCAGCAGAAGGCTGAGGAGTGAGTAGGCTGTAATAGGCGAGCTGAATTCCGTTCTTTGAATGCTGCCTGAGAGTTGACAACTGCTGGATATTACCGTGTGGGCAGCATTTGCTCAGACGACTCAAAATGAAAACATTAAAAATACCATGAGGCAGCCAGCTCCAATTCAGTATTAGCATATAAAATGCTAATTTAGTAGCGAAAATTTATGAAAGGAAATGTTCTTGCTAGAGACGTAAATCCCTAGGCTGTAAGTAGAGACTCAAATTGATGCTAATGTGAGGCTTTGGGTAGTTGTGCCAAATGTAACCTGTTTTAAGCCTGCTTGGCTGTGTACCTACAGCCAGAGTAATTTTGAGCATATGAATAATTTTGTCCTCCTGTCACAAACTTCAGCAAGTATTCTTTCAGGTACTTAATTTTCTTAATGTTTGGATTATATGAGGGCTGCTCCAAAAGTAATGCCACCTATTTTATGATGTTAGCTCACAGAATCAGAGGCTGATGTTGGTGGTATGGCAGTAGAGGCTGAACATTTCCACCGGTATTCCATTACATTTTGTTACTCTGTGACAGATGGCAGCAGAGGGACAGTCTGACAAAATGGCATCAATGACTGTGAGCAGTGAGGAGCTGGGTGTTTTGTTGCAGGCAGAGGGTCACCTCTGCTGAGACAGATTTTAAGAATGTGATATGCTGCTCTTGTTTATTGCTGGGGACAATGCATAGCTAATGGTGGTGACTGTTGAAAAGGAGTGTTGTGTAGCTGAGAATGTGCTCTATCAAATAGTGAGATTGTGCTCTTTGCATCTGATGTAGTTTCTGTGGAAATAAATGGGAGGCATTACTTTTGGAGTGACCTACAAACTGATCTTTGTTACTGTGTGGTGTTAGTCTGAAACTACTAATTTCTCATTTTCAATATTTGCCCTGAAAATAAGAGGTTCCTTTTCATACGTTTCGTATTACTAGATGAAGTCTGTCTGGACATGGATGCGTGCTCTGTCTGATTTTTGATGCCTGCTTCTTTGCACTGCTGATAGTTTCTTATCTTCGCTTGCATTATGTTTTATGTCCAAGTCTGATAATAACTGAGTTTCTTAGATCTATTGAAGTGCTATAGTCCAAAAAATACTCAAATTAATGCTTTGAGGACAATGTCTTAATAAATTGCCCTGTCATTGTTTGTTTTGGTTACTTTTTTCCAGCTTTGACCCTGAATTTTGTCAACTTATTTTTGACCAATGTTTGTCTTCATCAGACTTCAGATTAGTCACTGATAAAGTCCCATTTATTTTTTCCAGCACTTAATATAGTTTTCCTTCTTTTAAGAATATTAAAATATTTCCCTTTGTACTCTGAGCAGCTTTTCTGAAGCAGATGGTTTGCGTGTGCATCTGCTGACAAAATTCTGAATAAATACGAACTGGAAAGTTGGATGGCTTCCCACACTTAAGATGTGATTCATGTAAAAATGGCAAATGTGCTTTAAGTATTTGAATGGTTGACCTACTACTTCACTGCTTATCTTTTTTTTTTTTCAGTCAGGTGGTTTGGGCTGATAAGAAGTTGACTGTAATATTTAATAGGCCGTGCAAATTCTGTTACCTGAGTTTTCATGTTTTGTTTAATGCTTACAGAAATCAACCTGACTGACCTTGAAACTAGTTGAAATACTGGTTTGTCAGCTGTATCACTTTTTCCCTGTCCACCCCTCGCATTGCTTAGATTGTTTTGTTTAATGTTGATAATACACAAAAATGAATAGGTGTTCATTTATATAAAGTTTGTACATTTTTCTCCGTATCTCATCCCTTTGCATCTTGTACATGGGGTCCTAGTTTTTCCTCTCTACAATGTTTGTGTTTATGCTAGGGGTAGGAGCTTCCAAGTCACTGTCAGAACTGAGCCCACATTAAATTGTAGAGTATACTTTTGAACTAATTGCAACCTACCTTGTCAACACTGAAGCACAGCTATAATATAGTGTGCCTCTGATCTCTGCTGGTTACACAGTGGATGTGTTTTTCTATACTGCGTTCTTAGAAGACAAAAATTCTTTAATGTTCAGTGTAGATTTTACAGTATGTTGTTGCAGTTTTATCAATCTTCTAATTAAACGGAATGTGAAGTTAGGATACTCAGTAATACATACATTCTTTCCTCCTTCAGTGCTTGCGTCAAGTATTTTGACCATCTGAAGCATTGCCAAGCAGTAATAATGCAGAACAATTTCTTAATAACTATTGTGGCAATTACCTATACTTACACTGCAAGACTAATAATGCAGGGGTTCTTTTGTAATGCTGTATTTGCATTGCTGACTGAACTGTGTCTGCTGAATGGTGAGCTTGCTTTTTTAATAGCCTTTTTTTTCTATAGGACGACTTGTCAGCTTTGTGGTGTTCTTTCAGGAAACTTCCAGCATCTTTCGTGCAGACCATACTACAATTTATTTCTAATATCTCATATAAGTTAGGTTTTAAGATTAATTGCAAATACTGGGTGGTATAATTGATGAATTCCTGGTAGCAGATTATCCTTGTACTGTTGCTGTATGTGTATTAGAGACTTACTTTGCTTTCAGATGTTTCAAGCAGGAATTGCTAAGTGTTTGTTTCTTTATAGGTTGGAAATTACAAGCGGACAGTGAAGAGAATCGATGATGGTCACAGACTTTGCAATGATCTCATGAACTGTATTCATGAACGTGCACGGATAGAGAAGGTCTATGCTCAGCAACTTACAGAATGGGCAAAGAGATGGAAACAGCTTGTGGAAAAAGGTAATACATCCTCGTTTTGAACTCTGAAACATTTCTCAAATAGAAAAAAAAATTTGAATGTTCTTGGTAAGTTGAAAGTAGAAATGTTTAGCTTAAATGGAACCTTTGCAGATGGCTCAGTAGTGTAACAAATGAGTCTTTCAAGGATCAAGCTTTCCTTGATTAAGACAAAGCAAAGCAAACCAAAAAACAAACACAAAAGACAAAAACATAGCTCCTTTTCTAATTTGCTTTTTTCTTATGGAAGCAGGTGAATATTGCCTCCAGTGTTGATGTATCCAAATAAATTCAGTTCTACACATTAGCTGTTTCTAGCTAAATAATGGTAGAGAACGCACTGTTTGAAAAGTATGTCTGTCTAAAAAGGTGTCAGTGATTGTTGGGGAACCAATAATAGAAAAATAGTGTTTTAATGAAAGGCTGATCTGATAGCATTTTAGTATATTCTGAGTTAGCTTTTCTTTTCCTGGTTGTCCAGGAAAAGACAAAAAAACATACTTCAAAAAGTATGTTGAGAAATGGAAGGCAGTTCAAACAGGAGCTAATAAGTGTAACTGGGAATTGCAGTTTAGGGAGATGCAGGCCAGACTAAATGAATATTATTTAAGTATGATTTTAACATGTTATATTCTAAAAATATCTTTATTAAAAAAAAAATCCCTTTTCTAGGTTTGCATAGTTATCTAGGAATTCCTATTTAGAAATGAATGTAAGTCAATAGCTTCAGGTAGTCTCTTGGGAATATAAGTTCCATGTGGGTGATGGTTATTGAGAATGACACTTTCTGTTGTGTTTAGGCCCACAGTATGGAACAGTAGAAAGGGCTTGGTGTGCTTTTATGTCAGAAGCTGAAAAAGTGAGTGAACTACATCTAGAAGTAAAAGGTTCACTGATGAATGAAGACTTTGAAAAAATCAAGAACTGGCAGAAGGAAGCCTTTCATAAGCAAATGATGGGAGGATTTAAGGAAACCAAAGAAGCAGAAGATGGATTTAGGAAAGCTCAGAAACCCTGGGCAAAAAAGCTGAAAGAGGTACAGCAGTAGATTATGTATTAGATATCTTGTGTTACAATATATTAATGTCTCACATCTCTGTAAGGGAGTAAACTCCCTATTTTCTCTGCTGGACCCTCCTTTCTCAAAAAGATCTCTTGCTTTCTGTCCTCTTCTGAAAATCAGTATTTTCTTTTGGTCTCTCTTAATCTTCGTGTCTTCGCTGAAATTCTGGAAAAAGTGGAATTTAAGTTATTTCAATAACACCTGGTCCTATGCACTGGAAAGTTACGTATTGTTCAAAGAAATGATCAGGGGAAAAGCATTTGCAAATTTTCTCCTTGTCCCGCAACGTCCTTAAATAACAGGTGTGTAGAAGAAGGGGAGCAGGGGAACATGGGCACGAGGAAAACTTGTTGTACTTCAGACTTCCTGTAAACCTTTCTTGAGTCTTACTTCACTTCTCCAAGCTTTTATAAGTGGTATTTGTTGTATGGTGAAATACGTTGATTTCAAAGTACTGTAATAATTTCCTTACATTGATTATTGCGTACTGTTCAATCCTTGGCCTAAATAAGAAGTGTACCAAAAAAAACCCAAACCAAACAAAAAAAAAAAAAATCCTGAAACAAAACCATCACAATTGTTGTATAAAGTGTCACAGATGCAGAGATTCAAATTATCTTTCTAGGTGGAAGCTGCAAAGAAAGCATATCATGCAGCCTGTAAAGAGGAGAAACTGGCTATATCTAGAGAGACAAATAGCAAAGCTGATCCAGCATTAAATCCTGAACAACTCAAGAAATTACAAGACAAAGTAGAGAGAAGCAAACAAGATGTACTAAAGGTATGACTAATATATACTTGTCGATATCTAAAGATTTTTTGTCCTCCTGAATGTGCTGTAGACTGCAGCACAGCTTAGTCTGTTATGGTCCTGTGTCAGAATTTGGGATTTTTGACAGAGTATGTCATTGCTATGTTCTTTTGTGAAGAACAGATCGTATAGCCTCTATTTTATCTGAGTGCTCTGAGTAGGGAAAGAAATAGAATAATACAAGAGTTATTCATATTTGGTAGTGAGGACTGAGTTATTTCATTTGAGAGAACGTGAGATAGATGCTTAAAGCGTGCTGGCATCTAAAATCGTCATCATTCCTGATTGCATAATGTGCACTTTTAAAAAATTATTATTTAAGGAAATGGAGCTGATGCAGTCTATTTAAATGAAGTAAATGTGTGACTTTTTTTTTTTTTTCCCAAAAAAAATAATTTTCCCTTTGTGATGTTGCTGTGTGATCTGGATGGCCAACATTATCTTTGCTGGGATCTCTTAATATCTCTGAACTACTGCTATAAGTTGATCTAGAGTCCACAGTTGTGTTAACTGAGCTCGCTAGATTTATGGCTTATGTTCACAGGAATGTATGCAATTATACCTTTTTCTGTTTGGAACTCACAGTGAACTACGTAAACTGCTGAAGGGGGAATGCTAACACTTGGAAATTATTTGGCCATCTTTAACTAAGAGACCCTGTAAATTGAAAGACCGCTTACTCTTATACTAAATGCTTTCTTTGTTTTTTACCTTTAAGATTACATTAACGTTTTTCATAATTTCTTTTAAGAAGCTGGAGAGGAGGCTTAGGCCTTTATTGGAATTGTTTGGTTATTTTGTTAGCAAACTCTAATCATGATCAAACAGATACTTGGTGGTAATGCAAAGAGAATGTGATTTGGTGTATTTTAGTCCAGGTCTTGCCTATTACTATACTTGTGGGTCTTGTAGGACTGTAATAAAAGTATTGCTAATTGATTTCTTTTTTATTCCTTCTATCTCAGACAAAAGAAAAGTATGAAAAATCACTGAAAGAATTAGATAATGCCACTCCTCAGTACATGGAAAACATGGAGCAGGTATTTGAACAGTGTCAGCAGTTTGAGGAAAAACGCTTACGTTTCTTTCGAGAAGTGTTGCTGGAAGTTCAGAAACACCTTGACTTGTCTAATGTTGCAAGGTAAAACTGTGCAAGACCTCAAAATTAGTGCCTAATACTTTTATTAGTGCTTTTTTGCTTCTGAGCAAAAAAATAAACCATGCTTCAAGTAGGTCAGTTTAAAATCTGACTTAATATTTAAAATAATGACTTAATTTTAATTGCTCAATTTACTAAAAATGGAATACGTTTTTTTTTTGTTTGTCTTGTCTGGGATCTGGTTAGCATCTATCCCTAGCATTTGCTAGTTATCTTCAGAGGTACTGAACGAACTGGTAAACCTTCATTGTTGATATATGTAGATCACTCCAAAAGTAATGCCTCCTATTTATTTCCACGCAAACTGCTAGAAAGAGCACAATAAAACACTGTTTGGTAGAGCAAATGCTCAGCTACAAAACACTTTTTCAACACAGTCATCACCTAGCTATGTGTTTTTGCCAGTGGTGAACAAGAGTTTGTGTGCTGTGCTCATGAAAATCTGTACCAGCAAAGGTGTACCACTGTTGCTGTCACCACTGCTGAAAGCCACCACTCACCACCACACTGTGCTCACATCTGCTGTTTGGTCTCCATAAATGTTCAGCAAGCATCAGTGAAAGTCAGTGGCATTTTTTCTGCATGGAGTAATTCAATGGCTCCTCTTTGCTTCATGCACGCATGTCAAACACCGTTTTGTCACACTGTCCCTCTGTTGCCATTTGTCACAAAGCAACGAAATGTAAGGGACTATTGATGGGAAGGTTCAGCCTCTATTGTTATACCATTAACATCCACCTCTGATGCCCCAAATCAACACAGAACACGAGGCATTACTTCCAGAGAAGTTCTTAGAATTCTAGAGTTTGTGTGCTGTGGTCTGGTAGGGTTTCATTAAAATCCCTCTAGCTTGTCAATGGACTCATAGTTCTGTGTCACTTTTAAGACCGTGTATCTGTTGTATTAACAATTCTTCATCTGGGTTCATATTACACCATATTGATCCTTTTGTTAAAAAAGAAGGCTGTTATATTTGTAGTCAGTCTGTAGAGCAGGCATATCATGTGCGTGGTGTAGGACAGGGGATCAGAATCGTATCTGCAGCGTGACTTCTGTGTAATCCTTCATCGTTAAGAGTTCAACTTAAATGAAGAAGAATTAGGCCAAAAGATGAGTAGATGCAGCAAGGTTCTTTTATATAGCACTTGATGTTCTGTGTAAATAGTGTAGTTATTAAGATCACAATATCTAAAACAGTTAAAGCTGTTAGCAGGTATAAGAAATACACATTTTCTTATGTCTTTTTAACTCATTTAACTCTGCTTCGGGTTGGAGACTTTTATTTTCATAAGGAATTATAAGTCTAATTGGATTAAGACAGGAATTTCACAGAATTGCAGAATATCTGGAGTTGGAAAGAACCCATAAAGATCATCAAGTGCAACTCCTGGCTCCACACAGAATGCTGTGAAATTAACACTGAAAATAGTTCCTACTACCTTGTAGGCAGACTTTTAAATTCAAGAAAGTTCAAGGTTGACATTTGGTGATTTAAATACATTAAGAATTAAGTACTACATTTGCTGACAACTATTTAAGATACTTTACAAGAGAGTAATAATCCATCTTTCAAATAAGGATGTTATTTCACTGTTTTTTACAGGCAGTTAATGGGTCTGTCCCACAGTTTTAAAGTCTGTCTTGCAGTGTTTTTTCAATACTGTTTATATATATATGTAAATATATTTATATAATATAAATAAAATGAGTCTAGGGAATTTGCCATGTTTCTACATTTGTGCTGAATTTGAAGATAAATTTGTTTTGCAGTTACAAAAATATCTACCGGGAACTGGAACAGAACATAAAAACTGCAGATGCTGTTGAAGACTTGCGGTGGTTCAGAGCTAATCAAGGTCCAGGGATGTCAATGAATTGGCCTCAGTTTGAGGTAGGATCAGAGTATGGAAAGCCCACACTTGTTTTTGTTTTTTTTTCTTTTCCAGTTTCCTTTTCGACGTGTTCCTTTCTGGTGAGACTCTTAGACTCGAACAACTTCTTGCAGTTAATTTTGTTATCTTAATAGTTTTTCTTTATTTCTATTGGGTTCCCTCAGCCTCTACTTTTGGAGGTGATTATATCAAACACCTACTTAAAGAGTAGAGAGGTGAAAGCAGACTTTTTCTTTTAAAATGAAGTCATTACTGAAGTTGTTAGTATCTGATTCTCCCTTTTGGTGTCAGACTTAAATTGGAATTTCCGTGTTATTGAGTAGACAGCAAAGGCTGTTGAAATAGTTAAAATATTTCACATTGATTCTGAAAATGTAGAAGTCTTTAACTAGTTTTTCTGGTACCATTATATTAAAACAAAAAACAAAAACAAAAACAAAAAACTAAAAAGTCCTACCTTGCAGAAGTTATTTTATTGCTGGATTCAGTTCTGAAACGAAAGGGAAGCTTTTGAGGAGTGTTCTGCTAACTTAGCTTACAAGAAACAAGTTCCAAATTCTGTCGGTGCAGAATCATACTAGCAGATTATCAAAAGGCTGGAATTGGAATGAATTTCTGTACAGAATCATAAGTTCAATTGAAATAATTTCTGGGCTTTCAATTAATGGAGTGGAAACTTCAGTTATTGAGTGTAAAGTAAACGTTGAATAACTTCTAATTGTAAGATTTGGGGAACAAAGCTCATATTAGTACTGCAGAATTTCTTTGCCTGAAATACTGAACTACAGTTACTTCTGTGTGGGGAAATACCATCCATTTTCATAAACATCATAATTAATACATGAAATTCCGTTGTTACTGTTTTTCTAATCAAGTGTTTTTTCATTTGCATGCTACAAGGATGATGTAAGTAAAAAACAAAAATCATGATCAAATGAATATGAAATGTCATTATAAAGTACAAATGTACTTAGGTCAGTGGTCTTTATATTTTGGTAACTCTAAAATCCATATGTATTTGTGAGAGGTTAAAATAAAGAGGTACCTCTGAAAAGTTGGCCAGAAATCACTCATGACTGACCATGCTACTTGTATAAACAAGTAGTAATAACAGCTCACAAACTCTTCATTTTCTTCTTAATATCTCAAAGTTTATCTTTTGGATAGTAAACCATCTCCTGAATTTTTAACTTGTTTTCTGAGATGAAACTTGCCTAAGCATAGGATATTTGCTTGTGTCCAGTTTACTCTCTGTTCTCTGTTTTATATCTGTACATGACCTAGTTTGACTTGAAAGGTATAACTTGTGTTTAGGTCTCACCATGCCTGTTTATCTGCCTTCTGAAACTTCTCAGTGATTCAGAACGTCAAGGAGGGGATACTTAACAAATGACATCATGAGTGCTGTCAACAGCTGTGTTGATTTGAGCTCTTTTGGTTGGCTTTTAAGGACAAAATATTTGAGTGCAATACCCAAAGGGCTCATTCACATTTTAGGGACAGGAGAAGTTATATACAATGACATGAAAAATGAGCTCCATTGTTGGTCAATCCTGCAGCACTTCTTGAGAAGTAAGCTTGTATCTTAAAGTAGACTGTAATACTTCAAAAGGTAAACCTAAAATTTAATTTTAAAAAGCCAGATGTCTTGGCATTACTTGAAACAGTGAATGTTCTCAGTACAACTTTTAACGAGTTGCACTGAGCAATTCCTTTGATTTCTCCAGATGTCTGGTATTTTAAGTCTTTTCAAGGTGTGCAGAATGCTAAGCAGGGAAGTACAGGTCACTTGGGGATTTGTGAGTAGCAAAGATTTGTTTGCGTTGCTAAGATAGGAACTAGAAGAGGACTATAACCAAAACACGTAGAGTAACTTGTCTTTACAATAACTATTTGTAAGGCTGTATAAATATATGCTTCATAACACAGTCTGAAAAATTAAATGTGATAATTAGTGCTCCATTACATTTCTCAATCGCTTTTTACATTCATTGATAGGAGTGGTCTGCAGATCTGAATCGCACGCTCAGCAGAAGAGAAAAGAAGAAAGCTTCTGATGGAGTGACTCTGACCGGTATTAATCAGACAGGAGATCAAGCTTCACAGCCTAACAAACATAGCAGGTATTTTTTTTAATTATTTTTAGTTATTTTAGTTATTTAACATAACAGAGACATAGGATCAGTGGCCAATTAAATGTCACTTGTCTGAGCATTCTTAAAATAGCTTCCTGCAGCTCACAAAATATTTTGGTGATTAATTCTCCATTTTACATTTGTCTCCCCACTGTGGATTATAAGAAACTGAACTGTGTAGCTGATCGGGAGGTTGGTCTGTTGCTATTTTTCTATCTGTGGAAATGACAGTTTTTCTTTGAAATCTTAGCTTGCAAAATGCTTAGTGACTAATCTGGATGCCATTTATACGTGGCTGTTAACAACAGCTTCCTTAGAAAGTAATGTCTCTAGTTCTGGAGGAATGTATCGTATTATGAGACTGTCAGAACTTTCTTGGGTCTTATGCTACTCTTAATTGTTTTTGTTGTTGTTGGTTCTTTTTGTTGTTTTGTGTGGTTTTTTTTTAATGGCTGGAGAAAGGGTCTTCTAAAAAATTACTTAGTGGGACACGAATGAGTGTTTTTACTCTTAAACAGATAGGATCACCATAATGCTCTTTCTTTTCCAAATTAGCAGTCTTAGTGTCCAGAGTAACACAGTGCAGTCAGTACAATCAAGTTACAATCCCTTTGAAGATGAAGAAGATACTGGGAGTACTGTCAGTGAAAAGGAGGACAATAAGATCAAAAAGTTGGTGAAATGTTGTTTTAATTGTTTTTACACTTTTTCTATCCAGGGTTTTCAATTTTCAGCTTCTATAACGCTATGTTAGTGGGTGCATGAAGTCTGTTTGAGAGGTTTTGTAAGCTTCACTGTAAACTAACTTGTCTCTCCTAACAGATGCCGCATCTGTTGCCTTGATCTTTGGTTTGAAACTACTGGGCCTACTGGCAGTTGCTAGCTGAACTGCTGTTGTTTTTTTCCTTCCTAAACCAGTCTTTTAAAATGTGGACTTTTTTTTTTTTTTCTAACAAGAATGCTCCTGGAGCTTTACTCCTATGTGTGTTCGTGCTGAATAAGTCTGCTTTTTTGGTAGCTTTCTTTTTGTTTAGGACCTTTTCAAAACACTGTCTGTTGCTTCATTATGCCTACCTAAGGATATCACTGTCTTAAATGACATGCATGTACTCAGCAGTGAATTCTTCTTTAAATTATCAAGTTGTCACTCTGTTGTAATGAACCCTTTATATTGGTGGATTGCCACGTACAAAAAGTTAAAATATATTGTGTGGGGTGCGCAGAGGAATGAGAGAAAGATTCTGAATGTAGTTTAAATATCCAGTTCCTCTTATGTGCTACCTTCACAGCTTTTATCTTTCTAGAGAAAGATAAAATAATCTCATAGATTCTACAGATTTCTTGTTAGAGAAATTTCTTGGAGTTGATAGGAAAGTTGTCTTTGATTTCTGTTTTTTTTTCCTTTTCCTTTTTTATTTTTTTAACTTTGAATATACTGTAAGAATGTGATTTTTTTTTTTCTGAATAAGGTATTGCCAGCTAAAGGTAGATAAGATAAGCAGAGAGAAATTTTCAAAGCCAACCTTTACAGAGAAGTTTAAGCTTAACTAAGGAAACTGATATCTCAGGGATACTTCTAGCCTCTTCGTGTAAGAGCAGAAAAAAGTAATTTAAAATCTGTTTTTAGCGTTAGCAGCTATGAAAAAAACCAAAGCTACCCTACAGATTGGTCTGATGAAGAGTCCAACAATCCCTTTTCTTCCACTGATGCAAATGGAGACACCAATCCATTTGATGAAGATGCTTCTCCTGCAATGGAGGTGAGAGTGCGTGCACTCTATGACTACGAGGGCCAAGAACAAGATGAACTCAGCTTTAAAGCAGGTAAGTTTACAGTGTGCTCTTAAAGCACTTCATCAAAAGGAGAAATGGGGCAAGTAAGGACTTTTACTCAGAGCATTTCCTTTATTTTCTGTAGTCACCTGTCTCTCTGAATGTACAACTCCACTTACAGGATCTTGTCTAACCCACACTCCTGATAGTGCTTCTTGCTATCCCATGTTTGAAAGTACTGACTTGTAATCTGTTTGGAGTGTATTGGAATGTATCTGTTTGGGATATTCTTTTTACCATTTTGTGCTAAATAAAAGGAGTTGAGAAATTTGGGCTACCAGCAGTTGTGTGCTGGGTGAGAGCCTGGGCGTCTTCCTCAGCCTTTAACAGGAGACTCCAAGTGTTTTTCATAATCTGACCAATCCAGAGGCAGCACCCTCTATTGGTGCAAGGCAAAATGTGCACCTTTTGAGCTCCAGTATCTATCTTGTCTTGCCTCAAACTGCACATGAAAAGCTTGCTAAGCAGGAGCTCCAGAATAAGATGTTGTTTTCATGGTAGATTATCAGAACTTCAGTTTGTAAAAGTGAGATTGATTAGATTGTCAGTCTACTCCTTCCACCTTTGCTTGTCGCTTGCTTCCTTCTCTAAATGACTGGCTAGCTCAGTTGTAGAAGACAAAGAGGATTTGAGGATTCAAGTGATTAAAAAAAAGTCTGAGAAAACTCTTCATTCCCCTTCCCTTTCAGCATTCATAAGAATTACGCTATTTCATCTGCAGTGGGTGTTGGATGTTAGAGCTGAAAGTTCTTATTTTAAATAAGACAGTGATGTAGCTTATCAGTGAACTGTTAGTATTCCATTCTGCAAGTGGAGAAAGATGGTGCTCAGAGCTGCATATAGATGGAAATGTTTTTTATGAATAAACAAGTCCCATAACCCTGGTGAGACTGTCTATTCACTCACTTCTCTCCTTTTTTTAATAGTAAAACTCTACACCTTTGGCTTATCTTTGTAGACAAACAATTTGGACTTTGAAAGAAGAGAAATGGGTTGGCTTTTAACTTTGTTAAATTGTGCTCTGACAGAAGAATAGTAGTAACTAAACATCTGGAGCTTTCTCTGAAGTGCACAGAAGCTGAAACTACTCTTCATCCTGTAGACTTTAACCGTTCATTTTTTTTTTCTTGATGGGGGATGGAAATAAGTTAACATTGAGATTTATATATTGTACCTGTCAAGTCATTCTGGCATTCCAAAGGTTTACAATAACAAAGATTTTCCATGACAGAATGTAATGCTTTTACACATGTAATGGTTATATATAAAGTTAAACATTCTGTACGTTTAGCACCAGCTGTTAGACTAGTATTAACTACTTGAATGAAGTGGCTCTCAGTGTGAAGCCTGTAGAATAAAAGTACGAGTATGAACAGTAAGAGGTGTATGTAGGCCTAACTTAAAAACTGCTTAATACCTTTGAAGGAAGAGCATTAAGAAAACATTATAACAGCAGATCATGATTTTATGAATCAGAAGAAAGGGATCATGCTAGGCTACAAACCTCCCTTACAGGAGAAGAATTACAGAATGCCTGCAGTAAAACATTCAGTTTTTTAGACACAAATATTGAAGTGACTAGGTTTACACTGAATGTACAATAGACTGGATCAGGCAGTAGCCAGTTTAGAATGTGTTCTATTCCTGTGTTCCTATGCAGACTATGCCTGGAGTCATAAGCAGCTGTCAGCAGGCGATTAATGCATGTTAGGGATCTGTTCTAATGTATGAGGATATTCTCCAGAGGAATGTCCTTAGCTATTCAAAGAATTTGCCTACAAAGCTTTTGTGATCACTTCTAGCCACATGCTGTAATATATAGGCTTTGTGCAGTGTCCATCAAATGTACTATTTTTCTGCAGACTTGAAGCTCTCCTTTTCATTAGTGGAATACATTATACGTCAGTTGCTTTTTTGTTGTTGTTGTTATTTTCTTTCCTGTTTTTTTTTTTTTTTTTTTTTTCTGTTGGCAAACAAATGTGGTAGGCTTCCAAAGAGGAGGAATAACTTTATCCATATTTTATGAGAGGTTTTATAGTCGTATAACTGCAGGGGACATAACCTAGCATGTGTCTAGTGTTCTGCCATGGCTGAGGATAAATAGCTACAGGAAATATAGACCAGGCAGCGTTGTCAAAATGAGCTAGTATACATGCTATCCTCCATGCATTTGTAAAGACTCTTTCTGTTATAATCTTGTTGTGCGTATGATTGCCAGTGATAATACTTCAATAAACCTCCAACATCACTGGTTTAAAATTTTGCAAAACATCTCCATAAGTCAAGTATTTGTTCATACCTTTCTTTTATTATCTGGTAGACTCACAAACTAGAGATCCCAGAATCACAGAATTGTAGGGCTTCGAAGGGACCTCTGGAGATCAGGTCCAACCCTTCTGCTAAAGCAGGTTCTCTACAGTAAGTTGCACAGGGAAGGTCCAGGCAGATTCTGAATGTCTCCAGAGAGGGAGACTCTACAGCCTCTCTGGGCAGCCTGTTCCAGTACTCTGTCATCCTTCCAGTAGAGAAATTCTTCCTCATGTTTGTTTGGAATTTCTGATGTTCAAGTTTTTGCCTGTTGCCCTTTGTTCTGTCACTGCACCACAGAGAAGAGGCTGGCCCACCCAGTTGACTCCTGTACTTCAGATATTTATAAACAGTGATGAGATCACCTTGCAGTCTTTTCCTGAGGGCTCCTGGGATGGCTAAGAGTCCCAGGTCTCTCAGCCATTCTTCGTACAGGAGATGATGCAGGCCCCTAAGTCATCTTTGTGCCCTTGCACCAGACTCTCTCTAGGGGATACTCAGTCTTTTTTGAACTGAGGAGCCCAGAACTGGACACAATACAGTAGATGTAGCCTCACCAGGGCAGAGTGGAGTAGGAGAATCACCCCCCTCAACCTGCTGGCCATGTTCTTTTAAATACACTCCAGAGTGCCATTGGCCTTGGTCACAAGAGCACGCTGCTGGCTCACAGCCAACTTGTTGTCCACAAGGACCTCTGAATGCTTTTATAGATAAGAGTGCGATTATAGAAGATATATTATGATGCTTGTTCCATTTCTCAATATATACTGTGTGGGTAGTTTTTGCTCTCCTAAATGTACTGAGACTTCTGTAATACTTTGTGTATTTATAACCATTAGGGATGGGTTAATATAATCCCATGCATCTATGGAAATAGTTTGATTCAAAGAAGTTGTCTGTGTGAAAATAATTCAGATGATATGGCCTTTTATTTCCCTGGTGGACTTTTTGCTGAGGTGGACGTTCATTTGCTCGTGTATAGCATCTTGAAGTCTGCAGACTAATGCTTAAGTATTTCCTGAGAATGCAGAAGATTAGAGGTGCACAATGAGGCTATTTTATAGTTCGTAAATACCTGAATGGATATTCAGTGTTAGCTCTTGCTATTCAAGTTAGGAAACAAGTTCTTGGTTAACTTTTTTACACCTACAATTCTGCACCGACTTCCAACAGTGTAAAGGTAGGCGTTAAAAGAAAGATGAGGAAAGAAGAGATGCTACAGAGTAAGGTATAAGGTTCTTTTAAATTCTCCTGCATCACAACCTAAGTAGTGGTTGTGGAAATACTGGAAAGCAGCAAGAATTACTTACGAGAATTCTTAAGTATGTCATTTTGTAACATGTTCTTATCTTTCACCAGCTCTTAAGATAAGTATATATTGACAGTAAGCCTAATGAAATATTTATTTCATTTGTGCTGACCTTTTGTTGTGGTAGGATTAATAACCCAGTGTAGGATTATTCTGTTTGCTCAGAGGTAGTATTACTGTCCACAACTACTGTCTTTGTGTGTTCATCTCATAGAATCATAGAATTACGAAAGTTGGAAAAGACCTTTAAGATTCATTTTTTAACTGTCCATTTGTCACCAGTATTGACTACTAAACCATGTCCCTCAGTACAGTGTCTAAACATTTCTTGAACACCTCCAGTGACAGTGACTCCACCACCTCCCTGGGCAGCCTGTTCCAGTTCCTTATCAGAGAAGTATTTCCTAATGTCCAACCTGAATCTCCCCTGGCACAACTTGAGGCCATTCCCTCTAGTCCTATTGCTAGTTACATGGGAGAAAAGACTGTCTCCCACCTCACTACAACCTCCCTTCGAGTAGTTACAGGCAGCGATAAGGTTACCCTTGACCCTCCTCTTCTCCAGACTGAACAGTCCCAGCTCCCTCAGCTGTTCCTGGTAAGCCTTGTGCTCCAGATCCCTCACATCTATCTTTAGCTATATGTGAGCTTTTGATCTTCTAGTAAAACAACACCATATATAACTTAAAAAATGGCATTCTTTAATTTTGTTTAAAATGGTATTTGCCTTTTTGAAATGCTGTTAGCGTAATGTTTTTGTTTCAAAGTAGCTCCTTTCTCACTGCTCTTCTGAAATTGTGAGGTCTTTCATCCCATGTGCAAATCAGTAAATGGCATTAGTATGAAAAGTGTGAAGAGCAGAGATTAGAGGCTTTCTGCTGGGAGCTGTGGGCAAGGGAACAAGAGTGGCCATGTAAATAGGTAACTGTCACGTTAGCTTTCTATTACTGTCACTTAAAAGTTCATAGATTTTTTTTAACAGTGCTGCTTTTTTTTGCAGGGGATGAGTTAACTAAAATGGAGAATGAAGATGAGCAGGGTTGGTGCAAAGGACGTCTGGACAACGGGCAAGTTGGTTTATACCCAGCAAACTATGTAGAACCAATCCAGTGACAAAGGACAAAGTTAATACAGAAGCATTACAAAAGCTCTGCAGGCCTGTACAGTATATATTTAAACCAAGAGGAAGTTGAATGATGTATAGAGTGTATATATTTTCATGAAAAGGAGAGAAAGCTCAATACTGAAATTGTGGTGATTTAAAGACAGAACATAGAACTGATTTCATGTGGTTTTCACAGCTTGTGCACAATGCAAATGAAAGGAGTTAGGCGGAAAAAATAGTGATAGGAAAAATACTTTCTAAGCTTTTTTCTTTCCACATGGTCTGTTATTGTGACTCTTAAACACTTTTGCATTTTCTATGCTTGTGCCTCATCCTACCCGAGGTATGTGGCTTATGCTGAGTTATGTTTAATCGGTTATTTTAAGTGACCTTCAGTAACTTGCAACTTGAATTTTTAAGATTATTCTAGTTAATTTTCTATTTGTTCTTAGCAATGTCTGAAAGATGCAGTATTTTTTTATTTAAATGCTATGTAGGTAAGCATCTTTTTGTATGCTTGATCATATAATACTTAAATTATGACATAGATTTAGTCAGCAGTTGACTGAATGAAAACTCTTTCCATGTTGTAGTAATCTTTCAATGTTGTCAGCATGACTCGAAGTTGTAAAACAGATATTATATGTAATAGCTATCTGTTACAGAAGGTTATTTGTAACAGAGATATCTGCAGGTGTCATGGGTTGGGATTCTGTTATGAATGTTGTTTATATGGTTTGGCACTTAAATGAGTTTTCATTGTAGATCTTAAGTAGCTCTGTATAAACAAAGAGATAAATCATACATAAGCCCCAGAATACTATCTGTTTCCAGCACAAGTGTGCAGAAAAAAAAATCCTAACTGCTAATGATTTTTTTTTGTGATTTGAAATGTTAAATCTGTGAAGACTGATTTTTTTTTTTTGAACAGAGATTGTAAAATAGACTGAAAATGCTTTTTATTAAGAGGCTATCTGTTGTGTATATGTACATACAATTTGATATTCCAAAATAGAAAGAGCATGGCTATTAGTTATCAAACCTTTTGATGTGGATAAGATTTAGACTAATAAGAGTTTAAATTATAGGTATATTTAAATCTGCTTTCTTGCCATATTCATTACTGTACTGTAGACAAAATATTCTGTGATTAGGTTTTCAGAAGTACAGGAAACACACTAACATACTCAAAATCTGTAATGTGGATAAATTTGTGGGTCAACATATAAACTAGCCTTAGTCCTTACATGGATTATTGTAGCAGAACACTGTAAAAACTACATTTGTTTGCAATTACAACTCGGTTGTCTGTAACAGTGCCAAATAGTTCGCATTTGTGACATTTAAAACTGGGTTGTAAATTACAACAGATTTGTGTTTAAAAAATAAAAATAAAAATCAAGTATCAGGTGAGTAGATATGCTACTTTAGGAATCTACACTGTAATGAAGCTAACAAATCTATTTTGAGGTAATTATTAAACACTGTTGGTAGTTTTGGATTTTATCATTTGCTTTTCAAATGTATAGATATACTTAGTCATAATGTTCAATGCATTAAAATGTGCAAGCTCTGAAAGTGGATGTATGTATGTCAAGAAAAACATAATTATTCATTCACAAAATGGTTACTAAATCTGTCAGGAATTACTGCCTTGGGTCTCTATATTGTAATATATTTTAGAAAACAATAAAATCTGTTAATCTCTTAAATACACAGAATGCACTTCATCTTGCGATGTATGTAAAAAATACTCTTATAAAGCAAATAGTACACCTGATTGCAATTCAAGATGACAAAGTCTGTATTATCTGAAAGTCATAAAGATGGGCATGCCAGCAGTTGCACTGTGCTGCTTAGGCATAGTGCACAACAGCTCTTAGATGCTGCAGCAAAATGTTTGTGGAAGAAGAGATTGATGTCTTCTGTGGGTACGCTAAATGTACTTACGAGAGCGCTTTCCATGGTATTGTCAAGTTTGATACAGATTGGATAAACTAAGGTGTTTGTTTGTTTGGTAATATCTGAGTCTCTTCTACCTTCTGTGAGAGATGTCTTTTTCTTTTTTGGTGTTCTTTATTGCTAACTGCTAGCAGTTAAGATAGTCGTGTTTGTGATTGCTAGCCAGAAGTTTGATCATGTCTCTCACATCTATATTTTTTAATCTAAATAATCCAGTTCTTTATGCTGGGCATCAAATTTAGTAATCATAGAATCTAAGTGGAAGCAACCACAGGAGATCTCTAGTCCAGTGGCTGATCTAACAGTCAACTCCACATTCAAACTAGGTTGCTCAAGTCTTGAGAGCTGGTCTGGAAAACTTCCAAAGGCTGTTTTCTCACCTCTCTGTTCAAGCAGTTACAATGCTTAATTATCATTATAATGATATTTTATTCCACTGGAATGGACTGCCCAGGGAGGTGGTGGAGTCGCCGAGCCTGGGGGTGTTCAAGGAAAGGCTGGATGTTGTGTTGAGGGACATGGTTTAGTGGGAGCTACTGGGAATAAGTGAACGGTTGGACTGGATGATCTTTTAGGTCTTTTCCAACCTTAGTGATTCTATGATTTTATAATGGTGTTCTTTCTCCCCTGGCTTTACCTGCAGTTGGAACCTGTGTCTTGTTCTGCTGTGCTTGAGCTTGTGCTCAGGAGGGTTGGAACTACATGATTCTTGGGGTCCCTTCCAACCCGGGTGATTCTGTGATTCTGTGATTCTATGCTTGAGCCTGCCGGTGTCTTGGTAGCCTCCAAATTGCTGCTGGGAGGCTGCTTCTGGGACCCCAGAATCATTTCTTCTCCAGGCTGAACAAATTTTGTTTCCTCAGCCTCTCCTCACAGAGCAAGTGTTGTATCCCCCCCTCAGTATGGCAAGTCTTTTTGGGGAAAAAATAGTAGGCTATTTTCTTAGACAATGTGTAAAGACCAGCAATTCCTTATGTGTAGTCCAAAGCTATATTGGCATTCTTCTTCATTTGTTGCCTTTGTTGAGACTTTGAGAACTTGTCACCAAAGCTTTAGCACGTTTTTTCCTCAGACTGCTAATTTACTTGCATCTATAATTTTATATTGTTGCCTACAAATTTGGTGTACGTATATAGAGTGTAAAAGCAAAGATACACTCTCAATATAACCACATTGTAGCTCGTAATATCTTGGTATAACAATCCAATCCATTGCTATTATCTCTTGTTGAGATATTTGTGGAGTTGGCCTGACATGCTAAAACTCTTTTTGCCATAGCTGACCTGAATATTTTTGTTCTGTTGTCTTTCTTCCAATGAAGCCTTTATTCATAACACTTGCAAAGAAGAAAATTAAAGCAGGCTTAAGAATTGGCGATAAGGAGAAACACTGAGTCTTGTAAGGGGAAACCACAGATCTGACATGATCTTGGCGATTAAAAAAAAAAAATATATATATATATATATAAATATTGTAAAACAAAGGAGAAAAGGAAGAAAATGGAAGATGATGTAATGAAGGTTGGATGTCAAGCAGCAATACCTCCTGTTCTCCTAGAGTCGCATCTATTATTTTTAAAAATTAACTCTGAGGTTACATAATCATCCTGTAATTTTTCTCCCACCTTTCTGGTTTGGCAAAGTTAGTCATTTACCTCAGAATATCATAGAGCTTGTTAACTGCAGTCACTTTGAAGGAATCTACAGAGCCTGCTCCTGATCTGTGAGAATGAGTTATTCCTGATAACATAGGATACTTTCACCTACTGGTTTTGTTTGAATTATAATGTAAAAAGCAATTTCAGAGCATAAGAAAGGTCATGCAGTAATTACTGCAGTAGACAATCACTTCAGTGTGTTTGACACTAACAGTTTACCTGCTGATGGTAAGCATATGTTGCTTTCAGCCTGCCTTACTTCCTTTCTCCTGTTAGAAATACAGATTCCTAGGGGATCTGACATCAATCCTCTAGCACAAAGTTTTGAAAATACCACAGAGGGTTCTTGAACCCTCCATTCAGAGAATACCTTTGTAGACCAGAAGCTCTGTTGAGCGCTGTTCACATTTCAGAGGGTGTAACAACGTCTGGTAGTAGGTTGGATGAGATCTGTGCCAGTAGCACATTGTGGGTGCCTTGGGAAGAGCATAGAAATAGGACAGCATGCAATGACGCTTCAGCCACAGTACTTCAAGCTGTCAGTGATCTGTTTCTTTTGTTCTGTGAAATAAGAAAAAGTTATTTTGAACATTCCGTTCATTGCTTTGTCAACAACTGTTGTTCATACAGAAGTAGATGAAGTAGGTCAGAAAAGTGATCCTGTAATTAGTTCCAGACAGACAACCATTCTTTCTTGTAGCTAATTGTGACCCCACTAGAGAAGTGCAGACTTTTTATTTTATTTTTAATAAAAATTGTATTTTTGTTTTGCATTTGACTCTGAAATTTACTTGCTGCTTTATTACCTAGTTAGTGTTATACAAGATATTTCTACTGGTTTTTTTTTTTTGTTTGTTTTTTTTTTTTAACTTCTGTAAATGTAGGTAGTTCCATAAACCACTACCTTCCTATTTACTGTTCTCACAGATAAATATACAAATTACATGTTCAAGCATGAGTCCTCTGAGCAACACACTGGCAACCTCCCACTGTTTGTTATGGTGGTCAGTGACTAATTTGTTAAATGATCATTTCCTTATTTCATGGCAATGAATCTAGGTTTTTATGAGGGAGATTAACAAGAACGTTTTGAAAATCCAGGTTACCTTTACTTCAGCTAGGTCACCTCTCTGCATGACCCATGAAGCTTTAACTCAATGAAGTAGCAACTGTATTAATTGTGAAGTGATTGTGTATTATGATATAGATATTTCTAGGAACCTGAAGCAGAAGATGCAGAAATTTGATTGCCCTGCCAAAGATTAAATGCTATTATGTGGCCAACATAGGTGGGTTTTGCAGTGGGATGCTGCTTCTAAATGTGACTTTGCAAGTCTCTTGCATTCCTAATGCAAACAGGTTTACAGAAGCACAACTGAATATTGTCTATGCAGTGGACTTGTCTGAAAATTATATTATTGTAACTTTTTGGCTTTGTACTGGACAATGCTGTTGAGATGGACTACTTTCAAGATTAGAAAGCTCCAAGAAACCTCACCTATGTGACGAAGTGGTTATGCTTCTTGATGTTATCAGTACAAACAATACATTATTACTAAATAAAAGTATATTATGTAGAACTGGTTTCAACTGGTTTTTAATGTAGTTTAACGCTGCTAAACTTCATTTCCATACTGTGGGACTAGACACTTAGATGCTTGATCTTTCTGCTCCAAGGAGAAGATTGTCTGGATGGATTATGTAGTCTGGAATGATATGTGTCTGGGACCATGCTGTGTCACTGAGGATATCATTTGCAAGAGGGAGGCTGGCCTTGAATTTCTAGAGCTGCAGCTGCCACGAAGCGATGTATTATTGTTATGCACAACACAGCTGTGAGCAGTAACAAACTTTGCTCAGTGTGACCAAGTTTCCCAAAGAAAACCAAGCGTAAGTAAAGACAATGAGGCTGTCTCCAAAATACCTTGAACAAATTGGCATTCTTTCTCAAGTAGAAAGCAAATGGCAATACAGCTTTTTGTGGATAATGGATCCAGAGAATGAATGCACTTTCAGACTTGACAGTTTTTTGTTGCTGTGCTCCCTTTTGACTGGCGTAGTGTTAATATTCTTTGTAATAGCTCATACGGTGCTCTGTTTTGGATTTGTGATGAAAATAGTGTTGATAACACACTAATATTGTAATCGATACTGAGCAGTGCTCTTCTGTTTCTCACGCTGCTCTGCCAGTGAGTAGGCTGGAGTGTGCAAGGAGCTGAGAGGGGGCATAGCCAGAACTGCTGACCCAGAGTGACCAAGAGGGATATCCCCCACCACACAGCACAACAATTAAAGCTGA